GCTGTACATTCAACTTTGCAATCTAAAACTCACCTTGTTCACTCAAACCTGAGCTACCACAAATGTTTGTTCTTTATTACTTTCATTCAATTTCACCCCAAAAAAATTCTTCTTATTTTTTCTAATTTTTCTTCATTAGAGCAATTAAATCTTCAATTTTTTTATCTTTTGACAAGTGCCGCCCCCAAGCCTCTGTCCCATCATCACTGATTGATTGGATATTTTGTTTGATTGGTTCCGCCACCAGTGTGGAAAATTGGACTGTTAGTCTAATGGCCAGATCCTCTGTTACCCCTTGCGGAACCCCCTCTAGACTACCCTCCCGTCAGTCTACTCGGATTGTCACTCCAACCGCAAGCTCTAGCTTTGTTAGGCCTAGCCGTGACTTGCAAAGGTCAGTTGGACCGACTAGCCAATCTCAACAAAAGGGGAATAGTCTTGATTCCGAAAGCGAAGCCAAGTCTGTTGTTCAAATCCCGTCGAATCAGCAATCCAAGCAAAAGCGCACACGTAAACCTCCTTCAACCAAGCAGCGCAAGAGAGCAAGGTCCTCCATCACTACCAACACAGATGACGATTCTGATGAAGTGGACGGTGTCATCGATCACACTCAAGACTCAGACAAAGAAAACTCAAAGGTCCAGGGATCAAGCAAGAAGAAAACTAGTCCCTATGACAATATCCGCAATTACTTTGAGGCCCCATTTCATGCTAAACAAACGGACGAAGTAAGTTTCTGCCTTCTGATTAAGTATAGAGAATCATCAGATAAAGTGACTGATGATATAATTTTCCTTTATTAAGGGAGATAAACTGAGTTTCAAGTGCAAGTGGTGCAATAGTACCTACAAGAAGGGTGTTGGAACAAACTCAAACCTGCTCAAGCACCGTGATGGAACTAAAAAGGGGCCACACTGCTCCGGACGATCGGCAGCCATTGAGGCAGGGTGCAAATTGCCATTGTCAAAGAAAGATATCGCAGAGAAGGACGATGATCGACACCGAACAAAGGTCAAGGGATCTCTGACACACGCTGCCTTTGACAACAGGGTCTTCAATCAACTCCTGTTAATCTGGCTGATTCAATATTCTATGCCCTGGAGCCGGTTTGACGACTTCCTACTTCGTGTCACTTTCAATTACGTCAGGCAAGGTATCTCCATCTATTCTCGGACTTGGGCAGCCACCAAGGCACATCGTCTCTATATGAATTTACAGAGCAAAGTGATTACAAGCTTACAAGTGGGTTAATCCCTCAAAGATATCTGTTATTTGGAAGCACTCATCTGACTTTGAACATGATTCTGATTTTCCAGAAACTCAGCTCTAAATTTACCCTGATTCACGATGTCTGGACCACTAAAGGAAATCACCACGCATTTCTCGGGATCTCAGTTGCTTACATCACTGATGATTGGATCTTCAAAATCTCGCATCTTGGGATGAAGTACATTGCATCCAGCCACAAGGGAAAGCTTTTAGCAATCCCATTTGCAAACATTCTGAGGAAGTCAAAACTTCAAGAGAAGATACGTCCAGTTCCTTTTGTTATTTTTTTTGCTTGTCTGATCAGATGAACCAACACAATTTTCTTATTTCAATACATCTTGGCTCAGACAACCGACTCTGGATCAAATAACTTCACCATGGCTTCTGAGGTTGACAGGCTCATGATCAAAAATACCGGCATCAATCCTCACCTTTCCAAAAACCACATCCGGTGTTTCTGCCACAAGATCGCACTCATCCTTAACGCAGGTCTTAAATCAACTCAACTACCAACCAGCGGATTGCTTCCATCTCAAGTCGAAAATCTTGGTTTTGTCCCCAGACTTTCCCCAATCATTGAAGAGTCTGAAGAGATTGAAGAAGCTCCTCAGTTTACTGTTGAGGACATTATCTTAGGAGTGGACGACAATCACCAAGTGGAACACAAGGCCAATGACGAGGATGTAATAGATGGAATGGATAGCGCAGACCCGGAATCCTGGGAAAAAGCTGAAGAAGGAAAGAATCCACTTGATAAAATCTTAAAAAAGGTAACGCAATTGCTGCATGAGTTTGACTTTTTGATATTGAATTAAGTTTGATTGTTACTAATCTTTTTATAAATAAAATTATTTAGGTTGACTTTGTTATTCAGAGGATCACATCCTCAGCAGTCAAACAATCTGAGTACAAAACTTGGTCAAAAAAGCTTGAGATTCATGGACCTAGCCTTATTGCTGGGTATGGTATTCGCTGGAACATAAAGTTTGAAAGTCGTACTCGGGCATATCAAGCTCGTCGAATCATCAAAAAACTAATTGAAAATGAAAAGGATCGACAGGAACAAGAAGGGGGGAAGAACTACTATAACGACACCGAGATAAGTCGAGATGAATGGGAAGTAGTCAATCAATTAAACAAAATTCTGGGTGTAAGTTAGTCTGTAATTTATCAGCAATTCCCTGTTTTATTTCCACTAAAAAATAAATGTTTTGTGATTCATTTGCATAGGAGTTCTACTTTATCACCAAGAAGATGGAAGGCGACAACTCCTCTGCTTGCTTGATGATCTCCGAGTACCAGTACATCATCACATTCATCAAGAAAAACCTTGCTATCTCGACTCAACCAGAATTTAAAACTATGCTTGCAGCAATGCTAAAAAAGACAAAACCATATCTCAATGAGGCAATGAGGTGTGACGCAGTAGTCATAGCGACCATACTCAATCCCAGTTTCCGCCTTTCAATATTCAAGGTCTCGTTTCCCAGTCACTACGAACATGCTCATGATTTAATCCACGAACTGTTTGAAGCCAGGAATGCTCAAGTGAATATTGCCTTATCAAGCTCACCAGACGAATCTGATGCACTCATTGGAACGAAATCAAAGGCAACCAATCTGGATCGAGAGGATATTGATTACTTTCCTGTGGAAGCTGCGGCACCTGCGGCAGACAAGCTTTCTATTTATCTAGAGGGTAAACACAAGCTCCCTTCTTCTCAAGCTAGTCAGTGTTTGGAATGGTGGAAGGTATGTTTATTTTCTCCAACTCTACATGTATTATAAGTCTAATTTGTTTCTCTGAAAGGAACATGCCGAAGAATTTCCGGTCTTAGCGCTTCTGGCCAGGGACTACCTGGCGTGTTCAGCCACATCCGCAAGTGTTGAGAGATGTTTTTCGGCTGCAGCGGATACTTGTGGGCAAGATCGAGGTAGTCTAGCGGCAAAAACGATAGAACGGTGTGTCAGCTCGCACCAATGGTTGGTCCAAGGGGTGAAGCCGGATGACTCTTTTGAAACTGCACAGAGTATCATCACTCAGGCAATGGAAGATAAGGCCTATGAAGAATCAAAGAGTATCCCTGATCATTTGAAGGAGTGAATTTTTCCTAGCTCAAAGTTTTCTCATCTCTCCCTATGTAAATTCCCCTGTGCAAATCTCAAGACTTTATTGGGAACTTCACATGTAACTTGCCCCACTTGCAAAAAAAAAAAAAAAGTGAATTTAACACAAAATAAATTGAATACCTGCAATACTGTGCCAATATTTTATTTTATTGGCCAATACAATATATTCCAAACAGATAAAATTTATCTGTTTGCCAATGAATCCAATAAAATACTATTTATTTTATTGGCAAACAGATATAATATATTTATTAAAGATAATTTTTATCTGGACACCAATAAAATATAAAATATTGGGCAATAATTTATTTTATAGTATATGTTTCACCGTTGCGTCGAGGTACTTGTACCTCGACGGCTGGAAGGGTTTCCTTCCAGCCGGCCATCTCCCCTTCCGGCCGCGGGTATCCTTTGGGATACCCGGATACCCGCCAGCAATTTGCGGAAAAGGGGCCATCCGCACCCAAATCCGCACCCGCTGGCGGGTATCCGTTGGCACAGGCGGGTATCCGCCAGCGGATAACGGGTATCCGCGACGGATACCCTTCGACCATCTCTAGTGTAGCTAGAAGATTTTACATCTTGGCATCACGTAGGCTGACAGCAAAGGTGCATAAATGCTTTCCTTTATCCCTTCAAGCTGTGCATCTGTTGTTTGTTCTACTCATTGTTGCCACCAGATTTCTGTAATACATGCCTTCAACATATCCCTCATACCAACGATGAAACTGATGCGATGCATGCATAGGTATCGCATCGTATCGGGCCTTTATCGCATCGCATCGCAAGAGCGATGCGGGGCCCCGCATCGCATCGCTTGCATCGCATTCTTCGATACAGTGTATCAGTATCGCATCGGCAAAGCGATGCGATGCGATGCACCATAATTTGGTGGCATCGGTTTGCATCGCTTTCCGATACGATGCTGATGCAATGCATCGCTTTTTCGATGCAATGCATCGCTTTTTTGATGCAATGCATCGCTTTTTCGATGCGATACCGATACATGGCTATTTATCGCATCGCATCGCATCGTTTCACCGTTGCTCATACCAATGCCTCCAAAAACATGTAGTTGCCCTTGGTCCACTAACTCCTGGGAAAGTCTCTAAAAAGTACATAGATACATGCAAAGATGAATTTTTGGCAAGAAATAAACTTACTTCTAACATACCACTCATCACTCACAAATGTGTTGATAAATCGAGCTGATCCTGATGCCAACCCTTGTCTACACGTTTTATGTAGTGAGATTATTATATGTTGAGCAGAGGCTAGTATTTCATGATCTTTGTTGTTGTTGATCTATTCCATGATTTCAGCCACATCCATCACAAATTAAGTTGGAGTAGAAGAGATTAAATTTGGCTGATAGGGTGACAGAATGTAGATAGTCACAAGTGCCTGTAGCCTAGATCATGATCAGTAAATTGTTGATGTTTTCTCTGCAGCAATGAGCTTCATTCATTAATGGAGAGATTGGTTGAGTTGTTTGTACTACAGTCTTTATGATATTTCATCAATCCAGATCAGATATTCCTGTTTGATTTTATAAAGGGTTGGGTCGATTTGTGGGGGTAGTTTCGATATGCAAGGTGAGATGTGCAGATTGATGGTAAGGTGTGCTTATGTAATCAGCTGAGTTCGATCGATCGAGATCATGAGGTCATGGAGTGGATAAGCCAGTCTGGCTTATTTAGCCAGTGTTGAAGTTTTCAGCCAAGTCGAAGCAGAACAAGAACAGCAACAGCAAGATGGCACTCAGACTACCACCACTACTACTACTGCCCAGACTCACCACCAGACAACTCTCAACCCAACCAAAAACCAAACTAGCACCATCACTCTCGATCTTGGACCTGCCCAGCACGACCACCCACTCACTCCAGGCGATCGTCGACCCCTTCGAACTGCTCGCAAACGAACTCAGCCATCTCAAACAGAACATCAAGGCCCTCGTCGGCTCAGACCATCTCAGACTCAACTCGATTGCCAAGTACTACCTCGCCTCGGCCCACCAGGGAAAACATCTGCGTCCGTTGGTCGTCCTGCTCATCTCCCAAGCCACCGCCGCCCCGCCCTTGGCCGACAGACCGAGACCGACCAACGCCCTCCACTTCATCGACCGGCCGATCTCCCCTCCCGAGATCCTCAACGACAACAACTCTTCCTCAGACCAGCAGGGTTTACTCCCCGAAGAAGCAGAGGATTCTGCCATCTTGCCCGCCCAACGTCGGCTAGCCGAGATCGCCGAGCTGATCCATGTCTCCTCCTTGCTGCATGACGACGTGATCGACCAGGCGGAGACCCGGAGAGGACAAGCCTCTGCGCCCCGTCAATTTGGATCCAAGCTCTCCGTCCTCGCCGGCGACTTCCTGCTCGCTAGAGCCTCCCTCAACCTCGCCAGACTCAGGAACTTCGAGGTGATCGAACTGATCTCCAGTGTGATCTCCAACCTCGTCGAGGGCGAACTCATCCAACTCGAATCCATCCTCGTCCCCCATCTCCAAAATCCGCCCAAACTGGCTCCGTCTTCGGATCCCTCAAACCTTCAGTCTACCTCCCTCGCCCATTCGCCCGCCGCGTTTGATCCCCGTCTCTTCGACTTCTATATGCGCAAAAACTACCTCAAAACGGCCTCCTTGATCGCCAAGACTTGTCGGGCTGCCGTCATCCTTTCTTCTTCTTCTTCCTCTCCACCATCTCCTCAGACCCAAGAACTGATTGAAGCCAGTTACCAATTCGGCAAACACTTAGGTCTCGCCTTCCAAGTGGGTTATCCATCTCTTTTCCTCGAAAAAAGAAAAGAAAATCCGTCCATCTTGAACTGATTTCTGGGAAATCTCCACATCCAGATCGTGGATGATATTTTGGACTACACGGGCTCGGAGGACGAGCTAGGGAAGACGGGGAACGGGTCGGATCTGAAGGCCGGCCTGATCACTGGGCCGGGCCTATTTGCATGGAAGCAATTCGACCGGACCTTTGGCGAGCTGGTCGTCCGCAAGTTCTGTCGTCCTGGTGACCTTGATCTCGTTGAGTCCTCATCACTCCCCGCAAAGAGTTTCTTCGTACTCATCCGTCGGCTTTGTTTTTTTTTTTTTTGTTTTTTTTTTTTGTTGGTGATAGGCGAAAGAAATGGTCCATAAGTCCGACGCCATTCGCAGCTCTTATCAGCTCGCCTCGCACCACATCCAGCTCTGCCTTTCGCAGCTCAACTCGTTCAACGATTCCGATGCCAAGGCTGGCTTGCAACGACTCTGCGATCTCGTCCTCAATCGTAATCATTAATCTATCCTCTTCTCCCTCCTTTCTGTTTTTTTTGTCGATTTCTTGAGTTTTTTTTTTTTTTTGTTTGTTTGTTTGGTGACTAAAAAAAATACCGTTAATTATAGACTGGCTATGTTTCGAGTTGCTGTCTTTTCTTCTAAGATCTGTTAGATTCCCAGGGGTTCTTTTTTGTTTGATGTATCAGGCTCTTTGTTTCTGCTTCTTTTAATATCCCCCCTCCCCTCCCATACACACATACACATCTGTTGTTTAATCTCTTCCGATAAATTCCTCTCGCTTTCTCTCTTTGTTTTTGGTCAAGGTTTCTTGTTTCTCATTGCTTGCTTACTTGATTATTTATCTTGAAAAAACAAAAAAAATTGATCTTACATGATTTTTTTTTAATAGATGTACCAAGTACACAATATACAATCTTTATGTGTTTTTTTGGGGGGGCGGAGTGCAGTTTCAGATGGCAAACACACTGAACCTGGACATGGATGGTATCTGAACATTTTTTTTTTTTTTTTTTTTTTCCAAACAATCAGATTTTTTTTTTTTTTTTTTTTTTTTGGAATTTAAATACATGGTTTTGCAGCCCTTCTGAGGCCAAAGAGTGTTATAAAAAAAAAACTGGCTTGTGGAGTCTTTAATAAACACTCCACAAGGTGATGCTAGAGGGGTGCTTGCAGGACCTTGGAAAGGTATAAGCCCAACTGAAACCCATAGTTAAGTGTTTTAAGTATGGCTATTGGTATGCATGTCCAGATACACCACCGGGCGTGGTGGATGGCATTTGGACACCCAAACGGATGTACAAGATTCCATCCAAGCTTAGCCCTGGAAGGAGGATTGATTGGATGTGACTTGGATTTTGCTGAAGCCAGATGGTAGGGCCAAACCGACCATTGGATGGTAGGGTTGGAAGCCCGTGGGGACAAAACAAACACGTGGCACTGGAATCAAACCCATGAGCTGCAGGTACTGCAAGCTACCACTAGTGATTTCAATCATGCAGTACCTTCAACGCTGGGCCAGCTACGCTAACGGTAGTGTTAGCCTAGCGTAGTGTACCGCAAATACGCTACATTGTAGCGTAGTGTTAGCGCAGATTTCTGTATCTGCGCTAACGCTACGCGTGTGGGCCACAAAAAAGGGCCCACTACGCTGCGCTACAGCGTATTTTAGCGGGGTTTTTTGGCCGTTTTTGCCGCTAAAAGCACTGTAGCGCAGTGTAGCATAGTGGCACTAACAGCGCGCTAACACTACAGGTTTGGTGCGCTGTTCTGAGGGCCGCTACGCTAAGGTTAGTGGGCCGTTTAGCGCAGTGTAGCGTAGCGGCCCACCGCTGGTACCTTGCCACTTGACTATATCAGATTTATTGAGACTATGGCACCAAAAGGTCTGCTATATAGACCCCAGGCTGCATTTTTGGATTTTTTTTTTTTTGACCATCAGCCACCCTCCAAGATCTTTTTTTGAAATTTGACCCCTTTTTTTTCTGAAGGCCGGACCCTGGTGAAAACCATCAATCGGACACTCTGAGAAGTGTCCAATTGATGGTTCTCTTGTTGTCCATCGGACACTCCCAATCAAGTGTCCAATGGACACCAGGCTGTACACCATCCTCTGGATGGTTTCCACTGCCCAGCATCACTTGGACGATTTCTGAAGCGTCCAAGTGATGCCAGGCGCGCCCGGGCATCCGTTGGATGCTTTGCAACTAAGTTGCAGGCACTCGGGACGGAATACATCCTTTTGCTGGGGGGTTTTTCTAAAAACCCGTCCCATGGAGTACAGTGGGTGGACCATTATTTTTGGCTGCTTGTTTTGGGTTCTACAGCTTCAAAGCACAAACTCCAAGTCACAAGAGTTGGGGAATTGGTACAGAATAGGTCCCAAAGAATGAATATGAAAAAATAAAAACAAAAAATAAAGTTTCAAAATTTGTGAAAAATAAAAAATAAAAATGTTTTTTTCCAAAAGCTTTGTTATTGATTTTGGGGGAGTGGGAGTGCTGATAGAAAGAAAGAGTGGAACATGGGAAGAATGATTGTAAATGAAAAAAAATTGGAACCAAAAAAGGTTTGGCCAGGTTGGTTGTCCAGATTGGAGCCAAAACAGTAAATTCTAGTGCTTTACTGCAATGTGGGCTGGTGAATGCCCCAATCAACAGCTCTTTGAAGCCATCTGGACAGCAATTTTTCCAAAATTTTCATTCATAATCATTTTTCTTGTATCCTAATCTTCCTTTCTCTCAGCACTCTCAATCCCCAAAAATGAATTTCAAAGCTTTTGAGAAAAATATTTTTTATTTTTTATTTTTCACAAATTTTGAAACTTTGTTTTTTGTTTTTATTTTTTCATATTCATTCTGCGGGACCTATTATGCACCACTTCACCAATTCTTGTGTCTTCAAGTTGGTGCTTTGAAGCTCTGGAATCCAAAACAAGCAGCCAAAAATAACGGTCCACCCACTGTACATGTATGTGACA